CAGGCTCTGTCTTTGTACGTGGATGAACGTGGTTCCTCAGGACTGGTCCATCAACTTGGGAGCCAGTTTATATAAAAGCAATCTGGACAGGGTCTCACTAAGTCACTAAATTGCTCAGGCTTGGCTGGAACTTTCAAACCTCCTGCCTCAGCCTCCCAGAATGCAGACTTTACAGTGAACCCTCAAGTTGACTGGCCTGACACATGAACATCTTGGGTTAATGAGGTTAATGGAAAATTCATCTGCCTGTTTTTATCTACAGTGCATACCCAGGTAAACATCCAGATCTCAGCTGTACTGACTTACAACCAACTTGAGTTACAAGCAGCCTTGGAAACCAATCCAGTTTGTAAGTCAAAGGTCCACTCATACAGGCATTTGCCACCAGGCCCAGCTAACACCAGAATTTTTTTTTTTTTTTTGGTATGGGGGATCAAACTCAGGACCTCGTGCTTTTGAGGCAGGCATCGGCACCACTGAGCTAAATATCTGACCCTGACATCAGCATTTTTATCTGCCAAGAGCTTAAATATGTTTGGAACCCTTACATCTCTTCAGATATAAGAAGCCAGGTTTGGGCCAGGGATTTAGCTCAGTGGTTCTGCTGCCTGCCTTGCAAGCCCGAGGTCCTGAGTTCAATCCCCGATAATAAAACAAAAAGCAAAAAACAAAAACAAAGAAGCCAGGTTTAATCCAGCCTTTTACCATGGGTAGTTGTTTAGCCAAAATACAAAGAATAACTATTGAGCTGCTACGCTGTGTATTATGGATACAAACATGAATGGAACAGAAAGGTCACTATTCTCGTGGAATTTCCATTCTACTGGAAATGACAGGGAGTAAAAATGAGGAACACACAGATCTGAGAATTTCAGGTATGACAAATACCAGGAAGAAAAGGAAGCTGGTGTATATGTGTGTGTGTGCGCATGTGTGCGTGCATGTATGGAGGACTTTGGCTGTGGCGTCAGTGGTTTCCCACCTGGGGGGAGCAAAATTTTACAAAGGTGCCAGTTACACCAGTGCTCTGGGAAAAGCATCAAGGGCAGGCCCGGCTTGATTCATTCTCTGCCTCTGTAGCAGAAAACAGCAGAAGAGGTAATTTGTCAACAACAGGAGTTTATTTGGCTTACAGTTCTGGAGGCCGGGAAGTCTGAGCACACGGCGCCAGCATTTGGCAGGGGCTTGTGTGCTGAGTCACACGAGACAGAAGGTCAAATAACACAGTAGAGAAGGGGGAATCAGATGAATTCACCCTTTTCATTAGAAACTCACTCTCTTGATAAGGTGTTAATGCATTCATGAGGTGACCTCATCCCCTCTTTATGCGTGTGTACGTGTTGGAGGGGGATTGGGGATTGAATCCAAGACCTTTTCACTGAACTACATGCCTAGCCCTTTTGACTTTGTATTTTCAGTCAGTCTCACTAAGTCACTAAGTTGCCAAGGTTGAGCTCATACTTGTGATCCTTCTGCCTCAGCCTCCCAGGCCTGAGATACCATGCCCGTCCTTGTCCCCCTCTAAAGGTCCCACTGCTTCACACTGTTACAATACCAACATGAGTTTTGGAGAAGACATTTAAAAACCATAGTAGGAGAGCAGTGTGTGCAAAGGTCCTGAGGCAAGGCTAAATTGGACTTACTCAAGGAACAGCTAGGAGGCCAGTGTCTTCAGTCAACCAATGAGTAGTGTGAGGGAGAGAGGGGTAGATTGAAAGAAGAGAGGGAGGGGTGGGGAAGAGACCTTGCAGACCCTACCCATCTTGATGTAAACATAAGCTTGTATTTCTCTTGGATAAACAATTAGTAGCAGAAATGTGGGTTTCTAGGTGGGTAAATGCTTGGCTTTACAAGAAACCACCAGACCATCTTCCAAAGTGGTTGTTCTATTTCACATTGCCACCAGCGGCATGTGAGTTTTCCAACTGTTCCACATCTCTGCTGACTCTTGATTGGGTCAATCTTTTTAATTTTAGTCATTCTAATGGTTGGCCAGTAGTATTTCATTGCGGTTTTCATTTGTATTTCCCTAATGACTAATGATGTCAAACACTTTTCTACATACTTATTATTGAACGTTTATGTGTCTTTTGGCCACTTAAGAGATTAAGTTGTCTATTTTGTTGTCAATGGAGCCGGAACCCAGGGACTCGTTCACATGGTGAAGTGCTCTACAACTGACCTACACTCCAGCCATATCTGTCTGATTTTTTCAAAAGCTTCCTCTGGCTGTTGAGGGGAGGACAAGCTGCAGCTTCTATGGAGGCCAGCTGGCCGCAGGCAGACGGCCTGCTTTCTGGGACAGTGGGCTTTGACCTGGCCTGCTCCCAAGAGAGATTGGGCCACTTTGAAGGTCTCAAGTGAGGCTCTCAGCTTCCCACAGCCTGGGACTGTCACGGGTGCAACTCAGTCACTGGAATACCTTCTATTTCATCTTTTTTTTTTGAGATGGGGTCTCACTATGTAGTTCAGGCTGTCCACGAGTTCCTGTGTAGCCAGGCTGGCCTCAGACTCATGGCGATCCTCCTGCCTCAGCTTCCTGAGTGCTAGGATTACAGGCATGTGCTACCATGCTTGGCTCCATTTCATCTCTCTTCCCCCTACAGGGGGGACCTTATCCCCTGACGTGGCCCAGACAGCAGCCCAGCACTGTGTTCCATTGTCTGCACCAGCATGGTTATATCGGTTGCAAAATATATTGAAATATTTTCTTTTGAACCCTACAGCTCATATCCCCAAAATGCCCGTCACCTCCCCAGTCCCTTCCTTTGGGAACCCTTGAGCTTCCTTTCTGTCAGCAACTACAGGGGGTGTCTGGGTCTCCGGCCCAGCCTGATGGCCACATTTGTTCTCATTGAATGGTGCCTGAATGCCATGGCTGTGCCTTCTGGGGACAGCTCAGGCCTGGTAGGAGTTGGAGGATGGGGTTAGAAGGCTGATGCTGAAGGGCTAAGGGAGGGAGTTTTGCTTTGTTTTGTTTGTTGTTTGAGACAGAGTCTTGGTATTTGGTTCAGGCTGGCATTGAACTCACTATGTAGCACAGGCTGGCTTTAAATTCACAGTGATCCTCCTGCCTCAGCCTCCAGAGTGCTGGGATTACAAGGCATGCGTCACCACACTTGTCTGTTTTGTACTGTTCTGTTTTGTGGTACTAAGCACTGTAGTACTGGGATACATCTCCAGGCTTTTGCATTTTTTATTTTATTTTTAACTTTTCTTTTTTCGTTTTTGAGTCTGGACCTTGAACTCACTCTGTAGCTCAGGATGGCCTTAAACTTGAAGTGATCCTCCTGCCTCATTCTGCGGCGTGCAGGGATCACAGGTGTGCATCCCTGTGCTCCCAGTGCGCCTGGCTGTGGAGGGCTATTATCAGGGAGCCCAGAACTCAGCGCTGAACATGCTAATAACATTCACAGTGATGAGGATGATGATTAACATTTCACGAGCAATACAAGGTACCAGTCATTATTCTAATTGACCTCAAAGTCCTCACAATAAATTTTACCAGCACAGCAGCCCAGTTTCCTGCTCCTGTGTGGGCCACCACAGCCTTTCCCCGCCCACAGCCAGAGGGAGCCTGTGACCTCCAAACAGGGTCAGGGTCCCTCGAGTCTCTGACTAGCCAGGCTCACTCTGCTCAGCCTGCCTTGAGACTCCTGCTGTGCCCAGCAGGCCGAGGGTCTGAGCCTCCATGCTCTGACCAGGCCCTGGGGTTCTGCAGTGTCAGGACTCTGCCAGGCCTGGCCAGCGGTGACCATGAGTAGCCCTGAGCCTCCTGTGAGCCTCCAGAGCCCTCCCTTCCCCCACTGGCACCCAGCGTCTGCCCCGTGACCAGCGTCCAGCTTCCCCTTTCTTTCCTGAGCCCAGGCTGGGAGCACCAGGGTGTGACCTGTGGATGGGGGAGGGGGCTTCCTGCCCACTGTCATCCCCTGCACCCTAACCTCAGGTTCCTCCTTCTCCAGTCTCAGCTTGGGCTCCCTTGGGGGGCTAGAAGTCCCTGTCTCTGTCTGGGTGGCACCCTCAGTCCCTGCTCCCAGCCACTTCCTCACAGGGCAGCGTAGCCCAGCTCTGCCTAGCGCTCACCGAGTTATCCTCACCCGCCTCGCCTCAAGCCCAGGCCTGTCTGTGGTGTGTGTACCTGTGATGCTAATTCTCACCCTCTTGCTTGCTTCGCCGCAGTTTCCCCCTTCCCTTCTCTTTTTCTTTCCTTCTTTCTCTGGGCCCTGGGTCTCCTTTCCATCTTTGTTTGCTTTGTGACCTTGGGCAAGCATCTTTGCCTCTCTGTGGAGTGGGGATAAGAACACCTACTACAGCAGACGGCGGTGGGGATTAAATGATTTAACATTTGTGGCAGAAGCTCTGTTCATCATTAGTGCCCACACGCTGGTGTCCCTGTCTCAATAGCCTACAAATACCACAAGGATCTGATTACCAGATAATAATAATAATTTTAGCTGATGCTTCTAAAAAGCCGACACATGCCAGGCCTTCTTCTAGGTATGCCGATTCATATAATCTCCGCAAGAAACCTACCAAATACGTACTATTTTACTCCCGATCTTTAAAAAACAATTGTATTAATACACATTGACTGCCTGCACCCAGGGAGTGGGTACGTGGACATAACGCATCTTGATTCTTTTTTCCACCCCCTTCCCCTCCCCTCCCCCCTCTGTCCACCTCTTGGTCCCTTTCCTTTTTGGATTCTTCTTGATCCTTCCTTTTGGGAAGAGATCTATCATATGAATGAAGAAACTGAGGCCCAGAGACATTGAATGAAGAGGCAGAGCTGGCTTCAGTCATAGTCAGCCATGGGCCCTCTCGTTACAATGATGTCTGACCCTTGACTGGGGTTGGAGGCCAAGAACTAACACATTCAGCCATCAGGGAGGGCGGCCTGGCCCCTAGGCCAGAGTCTCTCTGGTGTTCTGTCTGTCTGTCCCTCCTCCTCCCGCTGTGTCCCCTCCTCCTCCTGCCACCACCCACTTCAGACTTCCTCCTTCACTTGCTTGGACTACACCACATCCACTGGCCCCTGGACTGTGGTGTCCGGCACGATATCATGGGGGGCCTGGAACCCTTCTGGCAGCTTCTACTCCTTCCTCTCCTTCTGACTGTGGCGGGTGAGTTGGGGGCTTCTGCAATCACCTCCCGAGTCCCCAGGTTCAGCCAGGGGCAGGGCAGCGAGCAGTGTGAGAGGACAAACTCCAAGCCGGGGTTGGTGGGAGCAGGTTCCCCCAAACTTACGGGTCTCTGCCTGAGCCAGAGATCCCAAAATTTGGCCCCTGGTAGAAGCAGAAGGAGGGGACAAACAAGGATGTCACAACAGGGCAGGCGGGTACAGAAGCCACATGTCGAACAGCCTTGACACGAGTGCGCCAGGTCCTGTCAGATGCTGTTGTCCGCTTTTCCGAGCTTTTATCCTTCCACAGCTCAGCCACAGCTCCGTGCCTCAGTTTATCTTTTTCCCTCCTCAGGTGTCAGTCCTGTCCAGGCTCAGAGTGGTAAGGCTGGACTCTGCCATCCCTCTCCCTACCTCCGCCCTTTCCCATCTTGTCCCTTCCCAGCCTTTCCAGACTTCCTCCTGCTGATGTCTACCCCCAGTGTCCCGCCCACACCGACCTCCCCAACCCCTGTGCTGCATTTGTAGGATGCAACTGCACCCCCATGAGCGCTGGGGTGCTAGCGGGGATCGTGCTGGGGGACCTGGTGCTGACCCTGCTCATTGCCCTGGCTGTGTACTCTCTGGGCCGACTGGTCCCTCGGGGGCGAAAGACCGCCCAAAGTAAGTGGGGCTGGTCTGGGACACAGAGGGCTGAACGAACTAGCGCAGGTAGGGCTAACCCCCAGCAGGCCACAGACATTAGGGGATGGTGATGGAGGGTCTGGTTTTAAAACAACAAAATAGGGCCAGGATTTAGCTCAGTGATTTGCAAGGGCAAGGTCCCGAGTTCGATCCCTGGTACCAAAAAATAAAAATAAAAAATAAAAACCCCAAAACTATATAGTTTATTTGTACACCTATGGTCTAAGCATTCTGGCTGGAGTAGGACACACAAGTTCAAGCCCCACTGGGACAATTTAGCCACTTAGTGGGGGCCTATATTAATGGGTTAAAAGGCCTGAGGGTGTAGCTAAGTGTAAAGGTCTTGGGATCAATCCCCAGTACCTGAATAAGTCAATAAATCAATAAATCCCAATCCATGGCCCTGTCCATCTTTGTACCCTTTCTCCCCGACCCTCACCCTAGTGGCCCGGAAGCAGCCCATTACTGAGACAGAATCACCTTATCAGGTAAGGAAACCAGACTCTTTCTCACCTCTCCTGCCTATTCTCACCTCTCACTCCTGCCTACTCTGTCTACAGACACCCTAACACCTCTCTCCCAGCAACTCTGTCCAAACCCATGTTAACCCAACCTTATGCTAAGCTTAGAACGTGTAGAGAGGAAATGTGACTCTGTCTTTGTAAGATCGGTATAGTAACACAGGCCTATAATTCCAGCACTCTGGGAAGTTGAGGCAGGAGGATCTCAAGTTAGCAATTTAGCAACTTAGTAAGACTCTGTTTCAAAATAAGAAATACAAAGGTCTGGGAATATCACTTAGTGCAAAGGCCCTGATTCAATCCCCAGTACTGGGTGGGATGGGGTGGGGAAGAAAAGAGCAAGACTAGGCCTAACCAGGCCCAACCAGGCCCTGAGTTGTTCTGGAGAAAGTCTGGCTCTAGGACAGGCTGATTCCTGGGAGAAGCCCTCAGTAGGGCAGAGGACAGAATTCAGGCCTAGTTCAGCAACTCTAAAGAGAGGAGTCCTAGTATTTGGGGGGATAGTGAATCCTACATCCCTTTGAGAAGCTGACAAAAGCTACAAACTCCTCCGAAAACTACACACACACACACACACATGTCCTCCATATATAGTCAGGGTGATACCAGGGTCTTTGAACCCCTTCTTAGAAATCAGGATGTGTGGCCTGGCTCAGTGGTTGAGCACTTACTTGGCATGAACGATGCCCTGGGCCCATCCCTGGCACCAAACACACAAATCATGATGTGGACTGACTTCATCCAGCTTTCCCTCTCCATCAAGGCTCCTCCTTTGCGGGGGATCACAAGATCCTCTGAGACCCTTCCCCAGAAACACATGGGAGTCCCAACTGGTCCCTGCTATACGATACATAGATTCTGCCCCTTGGTTCCACAGGCCCCGTCCCACCCATGTTTGTGAACCCTGAAGTCTAATTTATTGTCAGCAACTGTCTTTCCCGATTTGCCTCAATTGTGGATACAAAGTATAAGACATCTTGAGTTTTCCAGCAAGGCATTACCCTGATTTATCCAGCCCCACAGCATTTGTATGTGCCACATGCTGGGCCCATGGCAACAGAGATTACAGCCTAGTTGAGGAGACAGATTTGCAGCAAATTAACAAAATCATTTTGAGGAAGCCACCATGAAGAAAATAAAGCAGGCCAATATGATAGTGATTGGAGGGGGCAATATAGAGAAGGAAACTGAGAAATGCCCTCTGAGGACGTGACGTGAGCTGAGACTTGAAGGGTAAGGAGGTTGAAGGTCTAGGGAACCCATATTCTAGGAAGAGGGAACAGCCTGTGCAAAGGCACTGAGGCTAGAGCACAGTGATAAAGCAGAGGGGAAAGAGGAACACAGAATGTACTTGAATAAAATTCAGATCTCTTCCGTGGCTCTAAGGTTGAAGAAGCTTGCCAGCCATTAGAAGAAGGTTGGATTTGGTTTTAAATTTATTTGTTGGGCCCCTTTCACTGTCCCTTTAGGAGCTCCAAGGCACAAGGTCAGACATCTACAGCGACCTCAACACGCAGCGGCAGCCATATTACAAATGAGTCCAAATTACACCTCTCAACAACCTGATGCCTGGATCCAGCCACTTCTGATGCCCACACAACACCTCATTTCTACTCCTACTGGGATACAGATCCACAGAGTGCCCTCCCTGAGCTACCAGATCTCTCCTCAATATTGCCCCCAAATAAACAATGGAGCACAAAAGCGAAAATTTGCTGTTATGTCTGATCCCTGGGCTGAGGGACTGGGGGGTCCTGAGGGGTCTTTGGTTTAGAAACAGCTGTGGAGGGGGGCTGGCTTTAAGAACCTTAAGGTTCTTTTGACGAAGAATAAAACTGGAGAATTGTAAACGCTTTATTTCCATCCAGAAGAGAGGGTGTGTGCACGCCTGTGTGCCCCCGCGTGTACTTGTGTGGTCTTCGATGATGCCCCCCAGAGTCCGGGACGAGAAGGCCAGAAGTCAGGGGCTGAAGTTGCAGGGGTCAGCCCCTACGAGGCATGTTGCTGTAGACTCTCGTGTCTTCTGGGGGTGGGGGAGAGAAACCATGAAGCCTGACCACCCACTGCCTGCCCCATTTCTACACCCTCCTGGGGACCCCCTGCCTCTGGGGTTTCCTCAGGGGTTCCCCCACA